TCCGAAACAGTTTGACAGATTTATGATATTTTTGGTGTATATTGTAAAATATACACCAAAAATACTGTGAAAAACAAAATCTGTTAAAAATTGAATTTTTCATTTAATCTGTTAATAATTCAATTTTTAATAAGGCTAGTCCTATTGAGAAATAGTTTATAAGGCAAAACAACGTTCATTGTATCAGCTAGTCTAGTATAATAAAATTTATAACTAGCTATTCCCGCGACTTCGTCCGCGTGGAATTTAACTATATTTTTCTAAAATAAAAGAATTTTTCTAAAATAAAAGTAGCCTAAGTTACTCCTTCATCAGCTACCTTCCAAAAAAAAGGGCTCGTTAAAATCGGTCCAGCCAGAGACTAGCCGGAACAAACAGACTGTCAGACAGACAGACAAAAATTATAAAAAATGTTATTTTGGTATGTGTACCGTATATACATTCATATGTAGTAAAAAACGGTTATTTCAATATTACAAACAGACACTCCAATTTTATTTATATGTATAGATGTATAGATAAAAAGCTGAGTTTGTTTGTTTAAACGCAGTATTGCTTAGAATTATCTACCCACATAACTATTTCTACAGTCTATTATAGCGCTTCGTAAAATGTAAAAATAACTAATGAATACGCATATATAATAAACTTGGAGTCGTCTGTATGTAGTCACCAAGATATCTCCTACCCTTCACCTATATACTAAATGTGTTTTGTTTGGCCGTGTACAAAAATATTTTCCTTGTCTGGTTAATCATTATAACTGTAACGTTTTATATGCATATATTTATATCAACTCTGTCTGAGACACGTTTTTACAAACAAACGTTACTATACAGGAAAAGGCGAATATATGTTAATTTATATAATAATTAGCATGCTTTCCTAACTTAGTTCAAGTGGTTTTTTTAGTAATAATGGAATGGTGTTCCTTCTTCTGCTTAATTCCTGGTTAATTTGGCACGATGGGCTAACTGATCCGACCTCATGCTTATCATAATATCTGCCACTGGTGCCCCCCAGTTAGGGCAGGCGGGAGCACCATACTATAATAAACTATTAAAAAAAATATACGAAATAATACATACCTATAGAGCAAGAGACCACGACGGCCAGACATACGTCATATTAGTAAACGTGAAAGTTCTTGTATGTGTGTCCCCAACACAGGTAACAACGATCCCCAAACATGAAACCTGGATCGTGGTTCCTTTGGCAGGTAACAGGTAACAAAGGTGTAAAAATTTTCATATCAAATTCGTTATTTTAAGAAACTCCATTTTTTCATATATTATTCTTACCATTATTATAACTTGCGCTGCTCATTGCCAGACACTTAGTGTGGGTCCAACCCCCCGCCGAACCCCCCTAATATATACTATTTTATAAATTAACTTACGTTATTTTGGTAAAGCTGAAATTTAAGTATACTATTGAGAGAACTATTAAACTAAGTTTCCTAAATTGCCAGACAGTTTTCTTGGTTCTTCATCCTACCAGACTCATTGAAACCGTATATTGGGTAACAAATGTGTATAAAATTTCATATCAAATTCGTTAATTTATGAAACTCAATTTTTTCATATATTATAGCTTTTTGCGAGAAGTCTACTTTGCGCCATCTGTTAGCAGTTGTCAGAAACAGTAGGTATATTCAAATAGTTTCTAAATGACTGCGATAGATGGCGGTAGCAGTTTAAATCTTGAATTTCTTGTGACGTAACATTTACATACATAAATGTTTACTAAGTAAATAACATTACATTTTAAATGTTTACGAAATAAATAAGCTTACAATAACAAACGTAAGGTGATTGAATTGATTTTTCTAACCTATTACTAATTAGAGATTGTGACAATCAACAATCCGTATGGCCTATGTGATAGGTAATTATTACAGAGTAATAACCAGACCGAACCGTAAACCGGAAGTAGTGTATTTTTTAGTGTATTGAAAAATAAATAATATGGTATTCAACTATGATATCATATTTTTCAGTGGAGAGAATATGGAACTGTACTTATAACCGTCTGCAAAAATGATTTACATTTGCGCAGAGCATATTTATACTGTAATAGAGACAGAGGGGTATCAGAGGATGATGAAGTCAGTTATGATTTCATCATCCTCTGATAATCAGATAATCCAATGAATTCAGCAGAAATTAACCACTATGATTTCCAAGGGGGGCTGCGAGGAAGTTCGACCTAATCCACCACCACCGACCTAAGCCACCCATCAATGTAGGTACCCTACCTACATTGATGGGTGGCAATGTTATATTAACGACGCAATTTATTTTTTTCTTTATTTTAATCTATTGTATTGAATTATCTATACTTATTTAACAATTAATTGTCCATTAATAAATAATTAATGTCAAATAGTATCTACGTTATTTTATTAGTGTAATAAATTCTTATACTTGTGTTACAATTTCGATAACAAATTGTCGATATTTTATATAACCCACGACGTCCGCGTGGATTTATTTTTTTTATATTAAAATTTCTAAGTTACTCCTTAAAACTGCTATCTGCGAGTGAGTCTTAACCACTATCTGTTGCAAAAAATAGAAGCATTTTTATTTGTTATTTTCATTTTTGTTTTAAATTTAACGTGGGCGTTCTAGGCATACGTATACTAATATTATAAAGGGGATTCGATTGTTTGTATATTTGTAATGCATAAATTCGAAAATAATTTGTCGATTAAAAAAAAACATTATTTGATTGTAACGTGGTCTCGGGTTCGATTCCTCGCACAGTACAAACTTTTATATTCATGAGTATGAATGTTTGTATCAATCTGGATGTTATCTATGTATATTATGTATGGATTTATAAAAAAAAATATCAGTTGATAGTTGATACCTTAGTAATGGTATCAGTTGTCTTGTGCCTATAACACAAGATCTGCTTAGTTTGGGACTAGATGGCGCTGTGTGAATCCAGTTATTATTATTATTCCAGTCACATAGCCTATATTTTATATTAATATATATAACTACTAAACATAAAGGTGTGAGCAGCAAGCGAATCAGGGGATAGCTAAAATATTTTTGTATTGGGTTATCTAATGCTCTTGTCAAATATTATCTAACAGAAAAGTGTTTGTAACCTTTTACTGTTAATTGAACTCGCTTGATATCGTTCCGACAGTTTCCGGTAAGCTTTTAACTAATATCACACTTTTCTGGGTACCTCTCTGACATACTTACATATATTGAAAAAATCTAGGAAAGCGCTTACTAAATTTATTTAGTAACAAAGTGTAGGTAGGTACACTGAGGCCTAAACTTAGAAATAGAAATAATCATTTTTCAAATAAACTAAATACAAGTACTTTCGAAAAGTCATATATTTTTATTCTAGCACTGACTTGGAAGGCAAACACGTCAAAAGAAGAATGAGTAAGTAAGTATCTTGTACTTGCGTGTTACTCTTTTATATAAATATAAATTAACAAGGAGGAAGCATGCGAGCTTCTGAGCTAAATTTAGAAGAAAAGCATGGTCCCTATCCTGCAGCACTGGTCTCCAGTGTAGCGTGAAATAATTATGAACATTACTATATTTGCTATAGACGCAAAGATTATTATTATCTACGGATTTTCCCGTTCAGATGTGTCGTTAATTAAAATCCTAATTAGTATTGTAACGTATACAATGAATTAAAACTACCGCTATTATATATCTCGAACAATTATTATAATTGTTTTCTGTTCATTTAATATTTTCTTTACACGTACATAGGATAGAAGGGGGAGGGGGAGGAAGGGAATTGTTAGTAAAGTGGACTAATAAGCCCATTGCTATCAATGTCCCATGTCAGGTTTACGCGCGGTTCCCCCCGGAAACCATCGTGGTAAATTGCCATTTGCCAACTGATCTGATTTCACACTCATTTTATCATTCTCCACTGGTGCCCCGCTAGCTTAAACTAGACGTAGGCGGCATAATTCCATTATCATCAACAAAAAAGCCCATCGTTATAGGTAAACAATACTATATATAATAGATATACAATACAATATATAATATATAATAGGTAAACAATACAATATATAATAGATAAAGTACTGTTTTTGTTTTAATCGTGGAGAAATCATCAGAAATCCGTTTGCTTCTGGAGCAACGAGTGGGTATAGAATGTCAATGTACCGAATCGAAGTAAGATTATTACTCATCAATTTCTTTATTACCAAAGAATTCTACCGTCTTCTTTTGCCAGCAGAGTCGACAACTCTGTGAAGGTTCTCCTTGCGTGGGCATCGTGGGGAACTTATTCTTTTAGAGCTCACTGGAACCATTACCTACGACACGTGTTACTTTTTTATATCTGTTGTTTAGTACCCATAACACAAGCTCTGCTTAGCTTGGGATTAGACGATATATTGTTATCGTTTTTTAAAAATGCGGCATTAACACTGAAACAATTTTTTACTGAAAAAAGTCAAACCACATCAAAGTGCGCTATTTTAAGATTATGTCAACTGTTTGTTTTTGTAGTGATGTGACCAAATAACCTTGAATAAGCGCAATTACATGTGGTTTGACTTTTAAAAACTATTGTTGTTACATTTACTAAATAGTTATTAGGTAATAATTTTAGCCCAAAATTAATACGTTTATTATAAGTTGGAATAATTATTAAATTTTTAATGTTAGCACTCGTTAGTCAGGCAAATAAAAGATATTAAAAATTTTGCCGTATATTGTACGTCAAAGTTACATCGCCCGCGCCCATTCGATCCCGTCCTGTCAGAAGCGCAAACTCTGAGCGGCTTTAATACAAAATGCAACCATTTAACAGAGTCAAGCGTGAACTTGATGTACCTAATATTCATAAAAGTGGATCATTCCGTAATGAGTCATTGTCACCCTACACTGAACGGCCGGTCACTCGTTATAAGTTGTTTCTTTACGAGCTACCTGTTGAACCAAACATGACTTTCGACTGGTTTGAACTCCACACATAGTAACATCGCGGATCTCAAACGCGTCAGACGTCTGCTGTCCCAAACCACGTGGCTCAAATCACGACATAGTAAACAAAAATTCGCGAGTGACAGTATTGATAGTGATACAGTTAAAACGAGGTTAAATTTGTCAAAAAATCTCAGTTTTATTAATGAAAAACATATTTCTTTAGCCGTTGTGTTGTTTCCGTATCTTTGTATTGAAGTTTTTATTGGAATTATGACAAAAAACGTTGAAATGGATGTGTGTACATAACATATAAAAATTACACTGTATTTATTAAATTAAGGAAATTGTTCACAAATTAACTCAGAGTCTTTCTTTGAAGATTTAATAAAAATTGTACTATAAACATATATTGTATATATATTGTATCTCTTTGAATGAACTCATGTATTTGCAATTTACCATAAATTGTGCCCTGGCCTGAATAACTGATTTTAGTTGTACGGTTGTACTTCTTACCTGCTCTGGACATTTATTACTCTGTGTATTATACAAAATAAAGATTATTTATAGAATTGATTATTAAAACTGTTGTTCGTGTGAACAACAAAAATTTTATCAAAATCCTTAAATTCCTGTCTTTTAATTGGGTATTTTTATGAATGGAAAATCAAGGAATTATGGATACAAATTATGGAATGGTAAAATTATTAGTTTAAACAAAGAAACAATTAAAACAACTTTACATTGGCTTAAAAAATAATACATATTATAACATGAATATAGGTATAGAATGCAGAGTAAATCTCTAAAAGAAAAAAATGAAAACTTTTTGCAAGTTTGTAATTGTAATTGCATGAACAGGAAATGGCTCACCTGGTGGAAAGTGGCAACTGTTTCGTCTGTAGTTTCATGCTTTGTTGTTGCGGAGAACTAAGGTATCATGCCTCTTTACCCCGTAATTTCACTGCCATCGCTCACCTTTTAATTGAAATACAGCAAATTGCTTTGGCAGAAATAGGCGAGATAGACGTATTCACGCAGACAACTTTGAACAAAGTTTATCCCATGATATTTGTAATGCAAACCCCTGATGATTTGAGTAATCAGTATGAAACTTTGATGGCCTCTCATTGATCTCACAGCTAATCTATGTATTATACTCAGCATAGCCAATGTATAAAGCATGAATTGTAACATGAGAAAATTTGTTTGTTTTCCAATATGCATTGAGGATTTTTTTAAGAAAAAATGAATTGTATACTTATTCAAAAAGCATACATGGTTTTATCATCATCATTTTGATTTGATATCATGAATAAACATATGAACGAAGATACGTATATACTGGTTAAAATCATAACCCTCTTTGCATTGCCATAGTTGGCAAAATACAATAAAACTGGGGTCCGAGTAATATCCTAGAGCAGCTACTATTTAATTAGTATCATTTATTTATTAATATACATATTACTTAATTAAATTAATTATTTAGTGATAAAAAGAAATCCGTATAACTATCAGTATGTTTGTGTTTTTACGTTATTTTTAGATGTGTCATTCATTCATATAGATTACTTGACATTGTATTATCAGAAATAGAAATTGTTTATATATAGAATAATGAAAATAATATCTTACGTACGTATATAAAAAGTCCGATAACTTTTGATCCTTAAATATATAAATTCTGATTAAAATCGTGCAGTCATTACTTGGTAATAAACGTATAACCGGTTTTATTAACCAGTTTTGATTTTTTCTTAGTCTCACGCAAATATAGGTACTACCTACTCGTCCGTACTGGAATCTTACCTTAATTTCAACGACTTTATAAAAAAGTAAATAAACAAAATTTTATGAAACAACAAATAAACAATACTATATAAATATAATCCTTACCTTCGTTTCTAACAAATCAAATAAATTAAGACTAGAGTCTAAAATTAGTCTTTAATCGAAAAATCTAGACATCCATACTAAATTACCTAACTTTATAAACTGTAAATTGAATCATCTAAATCGCTCTAATTAGAATTTGCGAAAATATAACAATCATCTACAAAAAAGTTTCAAGTTGTGAACGTTTTTCTTTTAAAAATTGTTCGACAAAAAATATTAATATTACTAAAAGTGTAGAAGAAAAAAATCAAAGAAACGAAAAGACGAATTGGAAATATTTATATCGGCCATAGGTACCTACTTACGTTCCGATCTACGGCGATGTCTGTATATTTTCAGACTTGCCGCCCTTGAGTCGGTCTCTCGATGATGTCGCAATTTTATTTATAAGGGCTTCTATCTAGTCCAAAATTACTCACATAACATCAAGGATGGTACGGAGTATAGCCGATATAAATTCAGAAAATGGTATGTGATGGTACAACAATCAAACATTATCTTAACTACTGTATTGTCTTAAGTACTTCAGAGTATATTAGGATTATCTTAATTTAAAAATAATGGTTTGATTGATTGATGATTTCTACTCAACTGCTCATTACACAGTATAATTACACTACCATTTAAATTACACCCATGTAGGTACTTAATTCATTGTTTATGCACGAGGTATGGAAATCCCTTATTGAGTAATCATAACGGCTTTAGAAATTATTTTTCTTATTTTACTCAGTTCTGTGCACGACCTACGTCGTTGTGGTTAATACCCGTGATTGCCACTTTTTATGAACATTTAATTTAACAGTATGACTGTGATACCTTTGTAATTAAGTTCGCGGAACGATGAACCAGTAAAAAAGTCAACATGCTCGCTAGAGTGACAATAGTGGCGGCGCTTATTACCGGGACAATTGCTGTAGGACTCGACGTTTGTGATGTTAAAAACAGTGTGGACTTAAGTGGTGGTATTAAGATGCCCAATGGAGATATACACCTAAAGGGTATTGTATACGAAGGGAAGAACTATTATTTCGACAACATCACCGGTGTGGATAGAGGCTGTATTTGTTCAAAGCGATTATGTATCAGAAAATGTTGCCCGCCCGGTCAAGGATATAATATTAATAAAAGAGCCTGTACGACCGTTACACATGTGTTTGATCCTCCCATATGGAACAGCCTTAGAAGAATCGAGGGTGCAAAAGCTGAAAACTTATTTCACTTTGTTTACGAAACTCAGATATGTGGAAACAATACGGCTAGGATCCGTGTTAAAAGAATAACAAGGCACATACATCTAAAAGTAGTAAGTATTCTAAGATAATCAAAGGGAAGCGCATATATTATTTATGCTATCTAAACATTTCAGTTAGATACATATTTAAGTTTGTTTGGAAGCGACTTTTGAGTACGACTATAGGAATTTATTTATTCATTACGTAATTATTAGTAAGTAATCGTTATTGTGATTAAATTTTGTAAAGTAGTATTCTTTCTTATCTTGAAGTAATGACGTCGTTTGATGACAACCGGTTATCACAATTACGAACGTATGGGTGATAATTATTTGCGTGTTGTTGACCCTGATGAAATCTTTTACCAATCTTTATCTGGGGTTCCCAGAAAGGTTAAAATTTCCATTAAGTAAATAGCCAATTTCATAAAATACTTTCAGTAGTTCACTAAAAACCCGCTGAAACACCGGACTGTACCTGTACTCATCCTTCTTGGACAATTCACACACTTGGGGCTACATGCCCATGCTAAATGCTAAAAAGCTCATTTGATATATATAAAAAATACTCAGACCAATACAATTACTCAGATGATGATGATGATAGGGAGTATGAACTCACATCATCATCATCATGATGTAAAGCGGTGAACTAAACCATCGTGGTCATGTATTTTTATATACGACTAGCTGTCCCGGTAAACGTTGTTTTACCATATAAATTAAAATCGCCATTAAAGAATTATAAAATAAAAATAAAGACAAAAATATTTAGGATTGCACAATTTATATCTCTTAGGGTCATGAAAAATAGATGGTAGCCGATTCTCAGACCAACTGAATATACATATATAAAATTTCATAAACGTCGTTCAAGCCGTTTCGGAGGAGTATGGTAACTAATATAGTGACGCAATAATTTTATATATATATAAGATAAAATAGAAGAGAAGGCAGGAATTAAACTGGCAGCAGAACTTAGCAGAGCATCATTCCTCATTGATTTGTTTGTTCTTGTAAACTCCAATGGTCCGGGCAGATATCACTTATTACGTTTTATATTCTGAAACATTTATTTTGTCTCTATATTTTTGTATTTCTTCATTTGCGTACGTTTCCTGTGTTAACTTATATTTGAATTAGCATATTTTTGTATCAATGAATATGTTTTAGATCCTGGACCTCGCTCAGGTATCATACCTACCAAAATCAATACAAATAGGAAAAAATATATTAAGGAAAACTGAACCAAAATATTCTGTGATTGAGGTAGACTGAATAATATAGTGTTTACGGTGTTAGAAATATGACTAGGAGTAGATACCAACAAAAACCTATTGTAGAGCATTGGGTAATGTCAAATATTTTTAAATACAAGTTAATATATCTTGTATTGAAAAATATACTCCATATATAATTTTTCTCGGAACTTCGATTGCTTTTTGGAGATAAAAGATATCTATACTAATATTATAATGATGATTAAGAAATATTTGATTAATTGTTTGCTTTGAATAGCCTCTGAAACTACTATTTACAACTGTGTGTTATTCGCGACACAACTTTGGTTCCACTCTCTCGGACACACAGATGTACCTAATCGATAAAAAAAAACACATTTTACAAAGTAAGCTGCTTAGCTGCTGAAATTGGTCAAACATAGGTACCCACGCACATTGTAAGAAGTTTATTGCTGATACATGTTAGAAAACATTTTTAAATCAAATTGAACATTGTATCAATTTTACTAACCATTTTACAAAGCAAGCTTATTTTATGTATAATATGTAATTTGCACTACCGACACCGTCTCGGCTTCGCATGCATTACAATTTTTTTAATTTCTCGGCTTGCTCTATAACTACAACAATTCAAGAGGAAGGTTTATAAGTATAGTACGCATGTATTATGCTTATAAACCTTCCTCTTGAATCACTCTGTCTAGTGCTGAAAATTGCAATAAAATCGTCGAGTAAATTAAAAGATATCGAACAGACAGCGGCGCGACTTGGTTTGTACTATGTAAAAGCTAGTGGTGCCTACGATTTAATAGGCCTATACATTCGTAGGCCATCATATACTGATGTTAATCAAATGACAACAATATATATGTCATCATGAATTAATTAACTAAACTGTAGGTGGTTGATTAAAAAATTTCACAGAACTAATAATTTACAACTTTCATGATTATATATTTATTAACATATTCTCTGAAAATTACAATTCGTCTTGCCATTTGAACGTCAAACCTTAATATGCAAATAGACAAACTGACAGTTTTCGCCTCGTTACAATTTTACGATTTTAATATATGTAAAGGAAAGAAAGAAGATCTACATATGTATATCATAAACACGCGACATGGTGATAGCGATGGGATGATTTTCCTCAATAGTTTAATGACTTATGCATAACTAGGAGTATGGACTGCATAATCATGAAAAATATGGGGACTTTGAATGATACAGCTGAATAAATATGTCTTTTTACGATCCTTCCCTAATGTTTTTGTTTACAAAATACTCATACTAATTGAAATAAACGAAAATATTGTCTCGCTCGGAAGGATTTATGCTGTTTAGCGAGGATGTTTGTTGACTAAAGTTCTGGGTACTGCTCTTAGGCTATCTTTTGTATGCCTACAGCATAAATATTGGTTGTGATATTTTTAGCTTCAATTCGTGAATCAAGAGTCACTTGAAATGGTGTTTTGCACTCTGTGTGCTCTGACTAATCTGTATATTATATGTATGTATAGTGTGAGAAATATGAACGAAGATACGTACGAATCGTTTTATGAATGAAGTGTGCACCTAAGAGGATATATAAAAATGTAATTTCTGCCTTTTATAGTAATAAACACTTTTTATTGTAATTTGGACACTTTAGAGTCGGCACACATCTTTGACAGATACTGTGTACATATATCGATGTTTAGATTCGAAATCAGAATTTTAGTCAGTTTCAGTGATAAAGTATGGTTTGGGCCAGTTACGGTTTAAAGTAATAATTTCAGCCATTTCGGTTTTCAATAACAGTTTCAGCCGTTTCGGTTTTCAAATAGATTTTCGGCTAATTTTAGGTTAATATTAGAGTTAAGTAAGTTCTGTTTTTAGCAGTCAATTAACGGTTAAATCTTTCCGAAAAGAACATTATGTTTGTAAGTAGTAATCAAGAGTATTTAAATTTAATTATATATATTATATTGCTTTATATATATATATATATATATATATATATATAAATATCCCCTTGGGCACTTTGTGGCTCAGACGTGCCGTATAGGTAGTTTTTTGTTGATCCATTTTCACTTGTTGATCCGGAGGCCTTTTGTTGATCTAATGCCAGCTGACCATATATAAATGTTGATCCGTTTTGAGCCACAACTGTCACGACGAGTAATAATAATAATTAAGCGATTTATACACGATTTTATACAAATCCACCTTTTTGGCATACGAGCAGTTCTTGATCCAATTCAAACGGGCCAATCAGGGTGCAGCATTTGCCAAGGGCTTCCTCATTGGCACGTTTGGGCTACTACATTATGGCTACAGTAACTTAATAATGTCTAGCTAGTATTTCAAGAATAATAGTCTATCTAATCTAAATATTTATAGAAATCAGTCTGGAGTAACGTGACTCCAGATCAAACCTCAATACTTATTATTTTTTGGACGGGAATCTTTTCTTTTGTAACAACGTTGCTGAGCGAATAAAGAGATACGCAACGGCGGATCCAGGGGGAGCGTCATGGAGGTCATGGGAGTCATGGGGGCGTCATGACTCTCCCCCCCCCCGTAGCCCAGAACGTAGGTAGACCACTAATTGAACTAAAAAATAATGAAACAGCAAATTTTTTTGCACGATCGGAGTGTTGGTGCAGTAGTATTAATTATAATTAAACATTGTTACTTAAAATATAACAGTTAAAGTACTATAACAAAAAGCAAAATTCTTATTTCATAGTACTTGTTTTGATCCGAATATATACAGATACCGTAACGGTCTATTAATTATGAATTTATTATACCTAACCTAGATATTTTATTTTGACGAAACTCCGTGTAGTAGTAGTATCCGATAAGGGTATGCGAACCCTAAGTATTATTTCAAAATGACCAGTAATTTCGAAGAAATAAGCCTTTGAATTTTGAATTTTGATTTTAATAAGCCTTTGAATCAACTTACCAAACGGACGCTCAAGGTTCGATTCCCGCCACCGATTTTTTTTTGTTATTTTTTTTTGTCTTTATTCTAATTTTATGTAAATTAACTATTTTAATAATTAAATGAATTTATTCGAACAAAACGTTGTTAAGTATTCAATTAATTTTAATTTACATTACCCATTGTACTTTCTAAATTGTAAAGCAGCTAACAATTATAGTAAGATCTTATAAATAACTAACACAACAAGTAAAACATTTTAAATGTATTTTCTTTATTATTACAAATATTTTTTATGCATAATATAATATAATTATAGGGATATAACAGAAAGATGTGAAAAATGGAGAAGGACAGTAAAAAAGTTACAAATTTAAATAATGTTGCCGCAATTTCTGTTTAAATGAATTTATTACATTATTATATATATTAGGCATACGACTAGCCTTATGACTGTTACTTTTTTTTTAATCTATACATCTATACATGTAAATAAAATTGGAGTGTCTGTTTGCAATATTGAAATAACCGTTTTTACTACTTGCATATGAATATAAATACGGTACATACACCAAAATAACATATTTTACAAGTTTTGTCTGTCTGTCTGTCTGTTTGTTCCAGCTAATCTCTGAAATAGCTGGACCGATTTTGACGGGACTTTTTTTGGCAAGTAGCTGATGTAATAAGGAGTAACATACGCTACTGTTATTTTAGAAAAACAAATAAAATTTCACGCGGACGAAGTCGCTGTGGCCAACTAGTCTATAGATATACCGAGATTTAATATTTAAGTTGCTATTATGTTGTTGACAAAATTTTACTGTAATGTTACTATTACGTTATCCTACACAATTTGTATTATTTTGGATGAATAAATAAATAAATAAATAATAATC